CTTTTTTTTAAGATTTTAATTCATTTATTTATGAGAGACAGAGAGAGACAGAGAGACAAAGAGAGAGGCAGAGACACAGGCAGAGGGAGAAGCAGGCTCCATACAGGGACCCCCACGTGGGACTTGATCCCAGGTCTCCAGGATCACACCCTTGGATGAAGGTGGCGCTAAACCGCTGAGCCATGGGGGCTGCCCTATTTCTAAGTATTTCATTCTTTTTGATGCTATTATAAATGGGGCTTGTTTTCTTAATTTCCCTCTCGAATTATTCATTATAGTATATAGATATGCAACTGATTTTTGAGTCCTGATTTTGCATCCTACAACCCTGCTAAATATGTTTATTAGTTTTTTTGTTTGTTTTTTTTATTAGTTCTAACAGGGTTTTTGGTATAATGTTTAGGGTTTTCTACATATAATATCATGTCACTTGTGAAAAGACATAATTTTACTTCTTCTTTGCAATTTGGAGGACTTCTATTTTATTTTTCTTGCCTAATTGCTCTGGTTAGGACTTCCAGTACTATGTTGAATAGAAGTGACAAGAGAGGGTTTCCTTGCTTTGTTCTTGATCTTGGAAGGAATTATTTTAGTTTTCATCATTGAGTATGATATTAGCTGTAAGTTTTTCATACATGGCCATTTTTATGTGAAGTAATTTCCTTCTTTTCCCAGCTTGTTGAGTGCTTTCTTTTTTAATCATGAAAGGATATTAAACTTTGTCAAATGTCTTTTCTGCATCTATTGAGATGATCATGTGGTTTTTGTTCTTCATTCTGTTAATGTGGTGTATATTACAATGACTAATTGAGGAGGGAAATGGGGAAACTCAAGAGTTGGGATTTAGAGATTTTAGACTAGAGATTCCTTGAAGATTCTTATGCGGGGATGTTTGGTGGGCAGCTGCACCTACAGACTCAGAGGTTAGAGATACCTGAGCTAGAGAGGGGAAGAAGGCACAGGGTACATTTAGAGAAAAGAAAAGAAGGTATGGTAGCTGGAGCATGGTGTTTGCCAAGAGGCAAGATGAAAAATAAACCCAGAATGCCTTCCTAGAGCTAAGCTAGATCATGGTACAAAGCTCCAAAACTTGGATTTTATTCTATGTAAGCTGATTACAGAAAGCTTTCTTTTTTCCTTTTGAGTGACAGAGTTGTTAATTCATGGCTTTATTTCTAATTTAAAAAGTAACATGTGTCCATTGTGAAAACACTGAAAATAAGGAACAGTATAAAGAATAAAATACCACAAATCTATAATTCCACCATCCACCTATAATTACCACTAACACTACAGCTTATTTCCTTCTAAGGATTTTTTTCTTACGTTTCATACCCATATTTTGTATATATTATAAAATTTAAATTATACTATTTATAATAATTCTATATCCTATTTTTTCACTTAATATTTTACCATAAACATTTGGCTATGTGATTAAAAATTCTCTATAAACATAATTTTAATTACAATGTAATATTATATTGGATAGATATAAAATAATTTGACATTCAATTATTGTGGACATTTAGGTTTTTATAATTTTCTATAATGAGGTATCTGGGTGGCTCAGTCAGTTAAGCATCTGACTCCTGATTTCAGTTCAGGTCATCATCTCAGGGTCATGAGTCTAACCCCTGCATCGGGTTCCACCCTGAGCGTGAAGCCTGTTTAAGATTCTCTCTTCCTCTGCCTCTCCCTCCCCACTCACACACTCTCTCTCTCAAATAAATATATAAATACATGATTTTTTTCTATAATATATAGATCTATTATAAATATTCCTCTTTACCATATTTCCAAAATGAGAATTTGGGGGCCAAAGGGCATGAACATTTAATGATTTTTTATACTACTGGCAGATTAATTTTAGAAAGGCTAGACTAATTTATATCCCTACTGTATGAGACTGCTTATCCACTGCATCTTTACTATTATTAAGCATTATAGCTTTAAAAATATTTTAAAATTTTATAGATGAACAATAATTTATCTGTCACTGAAATTTTCATGCTGTTTTCATGAAACTGTGAGGCAGAAACCAGAGTCTCACAAAACTCCATTCTAGTAAATTCAAACCATGTCACTGAAGTATTCCATTTTGAGGTTAAGCTCACAAAATATGAACAAATTTCTAATAAGACTAATCCAAAGCAGCAGAAAAGACCTTATTTCTGGCAGCCTAAACTGGGTATCAAAGCTATCAGGGGCAGCTCAACAAAGTCATACTAAGCATCAAGCCACCCAACATCCTACAGAGATCCCTAAGAACTCATTCCTAAGGACTCACCCTACCTTGTTAGCTTTCTATATAGAGTAGAGAGGAAAAGATTAATGTGGGGAATTAATCAAGTTACAGTCTCTCTTCTCTCCCTACCATTGATGAAGAGCTGAACTATAACCCAAAGCCATTTTTTTCAATTCAAAAGTCACCTGGAAGCAAAATTACTCAATCTCCAGTGTCATACAAAATAACTGCTTAGGCACAAGTGTTTAGAGTTAAACATAGTGGCCAATGGAGGGTGGGGAAAGACACTGGGAAGAGTCAAAGGGTAGTCCCCTTCCTTCTGATGATGAATCCTAATCTAGATACAATGAGAATTGGGATCAAATAAAATCTATATTTTCATGCAGGCTGAGCCCTATCAGGGTTGGTTTGCCCTGAGATGATGCAGGTATGGCCACCACAGTGCTGTAACAGAGGCAACAGACACAAACTACCTCTGCATGCACAGAGGTTTCAAATGGGAGGCATTGCAAGCTTGTGTCCCTTCATGATCTCATCTCAGAGAAGGCTCTGGACTGTGGTCCTACAAGTTTGAAAATTTGATGTTAATGTGCTCAAAGAGGCTTTGCCTTGAGAGCCCACATTTGTTAAACAAGAAGAGTTGCACAGACCAGAAGGCCAGTTTATTTTGCACATTGTCTATTTGCATGTGGACTTACATGAGAAACCTTATATAATCAGAAGGTTTGACAAAAAGCACAGGACCTGAACAAGGGAAGGCAGGGAGATAACCTGAGAGGTCTTCTCCACCAGAGTTACTGAAAGCCTTCATGCAACTGCCTAAGGTGGCCTTCATCTCTTCTATTTCTCCTCCTCCTTCAGAGCTCAGCTCAAATATCCTCTCCCCAAGGAAGCTTCCCCAATTCCCCAGATAGGTTCCTCACTTACACATTTTTATCCACCCTGCATTTTCCTTTAAGTGCTACGGCAATTTTAATTAAAAGATTGTATATGCTCTGTTGTTTCTAATATTTCAGGTCCCTGGTAATAGGAGCCATGTCTGCCTTACTCACCACCTTACTCCCGATCTCTGGTGTACCTAGTATATAGCAGGTGTCCCAATATTTGTGGAAAGGAGGGAAAATGGGAAGGATAAGAGAACATGAAGACTGCAGGTCTACTGTGGGAACAGCCTTCAAATAGGACTTCAAGTCCCTTAGCCAAGACTCTATCTCCCTTCGACAGTGTCAGAATAAGCACTGCCCAAATCTGCCCTCCTCTCCCTCATTTTCTGTTTCTATGGCTGGCCAACCATCTTCTTTAACACTCAATTTGGATATGCAATAACTTTGGTCAGGTTACATTGGAATCAGACTGAAGTACCACTCTGTCTGCTGAAGCAGCTTTGCACACCCCTGGCCTAACCTATTTTATTGTCATGTATAATTACATTTCAGAGAATAGCCTTACTTCCAAGTTCTTGGGGTTACCAAACTGTCAAGCCCCTGTAATCACCACACTGCTACCCAGGGAAAAGGGAAGAGATGCTCCAGGATGCACTGCAGCCATAGAAGAAATAAGACAACAATGTGTGCATGTGGCTGAAGCCTGTTCATACTTCATACACACAGAAGCTGGAGATGACATTCCTACATGCTTTGGCTATTTTCTCAAATATGATATTAATTTTGATAATTAAGAACAGAACAAGCAGTGGCCTGGGAGTCTGGGTGAGATCTCTATTGTTGTGATCCTAGCTCTGACACTAACTTGGCTGTCAGCAGTCTTATTCCATGCTGGCTTTTGCTAAATAAAGGAGTTCGGCTAGAAGACCCAACAGCACCTTCCACCTTTGACATTACATTATCGAGGCTCATCTAAGAACTTGTCCTCAACTTCATAAGCACCCCAAAGATCAATCCAGCTGCTAGCAATGACCAACACATACTTGGGAGTCTGGGATAAGCATCTCCAAAGAATTATGGTGATATCTTAGGATTTCCATGATTGCAAATGAAATCATTCAAGAGACAAGCAGATGTCCCTGGAACCTGACACAGCTAACACACAGACCTTCTCGACACTTGTTAAAGCACAGGATGGATGACTGAGATGTCTGAAAATCTGGCTACCACCCCACCCCACGGCACCCTCTTCTTTTGATTTTCCCCACCAGCAGGGTGCTTGTGGAAATTATTTTCTGTATGTAAAACAGTCAATCATGATAAAACATTTCCATAAGCAAATAATTTTTACAATCTTTGCAGAAAGCACTTCCCTTCTCTATTTTCCATACTGGGAGTTCAACTGTCTTCACCTCAGCCCCGCAATGCACAAATCCTGTCACCAGTGTTAAATTACTCTCTCAAACAGGCATTTGACTGTAGTACAAGCAAATTCATTATTAATTGATTTCTAACTCAAAAATCACCTCAGTTTTAATTAGCTGGTATGTTAAATTCAAAGTCATGCTTAGGTTTAAACATTCTACAAACAAACCCTCCTCAGAAAATGTGCATCTCTGAGGAGACCTTTACCTATCTGAAGGGAAATTACCAAAAAGAATAAAGACAGCCCAGTAAGGGGTCTGCGCTCCAGAGACACATATTGTTTCTCCTGAAGCAACTTGAACAGACTATGCACTAAAGTGAGAATTCCAAAAGATTTCTTCCATTTAGCTCAAATAGGATGTTTACAAAAGAAAGAAAGAAAAAAACCCTAACAACACTGAGACTGTATCTGAATGCGGGACTAGGAACATTGTACTACTTGCCTCGAGTAGTAAGACTCCACCCCCAGGGCCTCTCTCACACTGGCGATGTGCTGCTCCAGGGCCGAGCTGGTGGATGTTGGAAGAGCCGCGCTGCTGCCAGCCTGGAAGTCACTGGAGTTTTCCACTGTGCTATCACCCAGGTAATGTTCATGAAACTTCAGAATTCCTGAAACAAGAAAGGCACAGCCAGTATTATGCAACATCGAGGTTGTGGGAGGGAGAGCTGAAGGCAAGAGGATAGCCCTCTTTGGCATCCAAACCATGTGAAGAAATCCTGAAATCTGATGTCTCAAGAGAGCTTTCCAGAGTTTGGTCAGTACCCATTTCCACAGCTTTTGTTATCAGGTCTGGTGCTTTAAACTAGGAATTCAAGATAAAGCTCCTGATTCTGACAATATATTTAGAAGTTCATGGAATGATGACTACTTCATATGTATTTCCAAACAGATGTTTCTCAGAAGCACCAACTAGGGAAAGTTTTCTTTCCTGAATAGTGCATGAGCATGCCAAGGTATATTCTCCCCAGAAACTGAAATCCTGAACAAAAATATAACTAGCCAAGCAGAAACTGTGTTACTCAAAGACCTTTCATTTCTCAAAAGCAAGTCAAAACAAATACACTGTAGTACAAAGGCGAGATAAAAATATTTTAAGCCATTTTTAAATAAGACTAACTGGTCAACCATCATTAATGGATTAAAGGAGCAAAAAATTATGGCTGCATGAAACTGAAGCAATCCATAGCAGTTTTCTGGCAATAAACATAGGACATATTCTCAAATGGTAATGAGGTGTGTCAGCCCTGGAAAACGCTGGTCCTCTCTGATTGGATTAGAGCCCCAGTGAAAGCTTCAGAGTCTCATTAAGAGCAAAGAGGACGAAAAAGAGAAACAATGGGAGCCTCATTATACATGGCTCATTATGACAGGGATTTGGACATACCACCTGTCAAATCATGTCCCCCAAACATAACAATGACAGAGAGAAAGAGCTTGATACCTCCATCATCAGCCATGTCCTCCTAGGTATCAGTGCCCCTCTGGGGGACTGGCATACACAGGACTTCATTCCATTGTAGCTGACATTCATACCAAGTCACCATGAATATCACAACTCAAATCTTCAGCATAAAAAGGTCAGAGGTAAGACTGTTCTTTATGGGAAACCCATAAAAAACATGGAATTAAGAGGAAAAGATTATAAAAAATAATGCCGAGGCATAGAATGTAGAGGCACGAGTGCTCATAACCCAAGAGGCATCTGAGAATTGTCACCCAGCCATTTTTTTTTAAATCAAAGGGACAGAAACACAATCAAGAAAATCTTGTCAAAAAAAAAAAAAAAAAGAAAGAAAGAAAGAAAAGAAAAAAAAAAGAAAATCTTGTCAATTCTCCTGGCAGTTGAACTTTCTGAAATTGGCTTACAGATATTCAAGAAGCCCATTCTTTAAGATTCCCAATTATAAGATCCCCTTCCCCAGTCAATAAACTCTAATTGGATCTGGTGTGTCTCCAACACAGTAAAGCCATCAGCATTTTATTATGCAAAAAATATGGCCCTAACAGCTAATTAGTGGTTCTGTATTTAGTGAAACAGTTACAGCCTGAACATTTAATGCTGATTTAATCAAAGGGGATTTTTACTTCGGAAATAGATTTACACAGAACTGGTTAAAATGGGTTCTGCTAAACTCAGAAATTTCAAGCATAAGACTTCATTTATATACTGTGGATACAAGCTGCCATTATCATTTTAGTCTAATTTTACCATGACAAAGGGTCACAATTATTAAATCATATCTAGAAATAACTCGTTAGGACTTACAGTCATCACTTTATTAGCTAATGAACAACAGCTGCCTAAAAAACAGGGCTGCTGGTGAAATTCATCCTCCTGCTCTTCATGCTCCTTGATAAATGCTTCCACATTCACTAGTGAGGAGCGGTGATTTCTTGGGGGAATGAGAAAGCTCGGTTGTCTTATTAATTGAATGCCCCACCACGGAACCACCGTGGCTGAGGTTTTGCTGAAAGTCGACATCAGCTCCTTCGTTTGATCTATGGTAATACACCTCTTCTACCTCTATTCATTAGACTTTCACAGTCTAGTGTCTTAATTGCCCAATTCCCATAGAAAGAGATCTTACCTGCCCCAGGAGCAAGCAGCCAGCTATACAGGTAGCCTGCAGCCAGGGAATAGTAAAGCACTAGTCCCCTCTGGCCATTAACCACCTCTAAGATCTGATCAATAGTGACTGGGGAGTAGGGGTCGGAGTCCTGTTGTCCTGTTTGTCGTTCTACCAGTAGATCAGCAAATGCCCTCGTCCGTCCTCTTTCTGCCACAGCCAGGGCTTCATCATGATGGCCTAGGACACAAAAGCCATACAGTGAGGAGTCCCTGGGGGGTGTGTTTATCCACAGAGGACCATCAGGTACAGAGATCCTAGGCAGAAACCTCACTGTCTCTGCCCTCCTATGTGGGGCACAGTCTGTATCAAATCCAACCCCCTGCCTCAGATGCTGAGTACAGTGCCACTCTTATAAAACCCCACATTTTCAGATTCCCACACCACTCTAACCCATGGGGCTTTCCCCCGTCAACAGCCATACCCCTAGAAAGCCAGCTTTGTTCAGAGGATGGTCCTTAGGCCTGCCCATTCTCCGATCCACATGCTAAGTTACTCCCTGGCCTCCTATCATCATTCACTTGAGCTACTTGAACCTAATGCTTTGCACGCCGATTACCCTCTCACTTCCCTGCTCAATTTTTATTTTAACTTGGCCTTAGCAGATAAGCCTACAGGCCTGGCTCCTGACCATCTTTCTAACTCTCTGCGATGCAGCCCCTCTCTGCATCACACTATCCAGCCCCACTAGCACACTCTTCATCTCCAAGTGATACCTCCTGTGCCTTTACACCTGCCAGTCCCTCTGCTGAGTGTATCCTGTCCCCCTCCATTGACCTTGGCTCTAAAGGAGGATCATTATAGTCGTTCTACCTATCTCAAAGGGCTACTGTAAAGATTGACCGAGGTGCTATATGTGATGATGCCTGGATGGGTTATTCAAAGTACTACATATCTAACGGTGATATTATTGTTAGAGCTGAGACCTCATTCCATTCTAGGCTCCCAAACACTTGCTTCTCTTCTCTTCTAGTCCACACAGGCAAACAGTTTAAACCTCTGAAGTCTCTAGTTCTTTGAAATTACTTCTTTCAAAGCTTTTCCTCGGTCTTTTAATCCAATTCCTGATCCCACTTTCCCTAAAAGACTAGTCTGTTATCTAGTTTAAAAGCTAAATGCATATACATGAGGGCACCAAATATATAAAGCAACATATTTTTAAGTGAAGATTATTTAGAGCGTTTAGAAGGAATACAATGAAGTAGGTCTGCTTGCATCATAAATATAGACATGGAAGATTTGCTCAAACTAGGGTCCAAAGAGACAGCAAGTAGAGGCAGGAGCCCAGATCCTGCCACTCCAACAGCACTTCAAGGATCCCTAGCTTCCTACAGTTCCAGGATCAGTAGAAAGTGGGGATTTACTTGTGTGTATGCAAATGTCTTCTTTACCCTATTAAGTTATTAACTGGAACAGCAGGGATGATTTCTGTGCACATTGGAAAATTGGCCCCAAAGTGTTAGGCAGACTTAACACTTATTATAATAGATAATAAATTGTAATCTCAGGCAATGAGCAAATGTAATAGATACATTTTTCAAGGGGAAGTCTGAGCATTCATCTACAAACAGCAAAGGACAGGTTATTGACAAGGCTTCAACATCCAACTTCAAAGACATTGTTAGTTCTGGTGAATTCCTCTTCCATCCAAGTTCTGGGTTGGTGGAAATGGTCTGCAGAGCTGGACAAGCCTGAGAAGAGGCAGAGGACAGGGCAGCTGGACGAGGTTGACTGACAGTTGAGGCCCTGATGAGGGAATAAGCTGCCCCAGTGCAATGCAGCACCCAGGCCTGGGAGAATTATCACTGACTAGGTCACAGCCCAGAAGGCAGATCCATCTTCTCAGGTACTTTCCCCAGGTATTAATGGTGAGAGGGAACCTGAGGGGGAACACCGGGCTCAATCATCTCTAGCCCTAAGTCACTCTCTCTGGTTCCTGGGTCTGCCTGCCAAAACGCTTTGTTTTCCCAGCAGCACTGAGTTTATTTTACTCTAGCACCAGTCACACTGTACTGGACTCACTGACTTCTGTCCTTCAATAGTATAAATGCTTCCTGAGGTCAGGAACCAGGCCTTCTTGACTTTAATTCCCAGAGCTGACACACAGCACACCTAGTAGGTGCTCTACAAATATTTGTTGAATAAACAAACAAATGTTCAATGACTGGATTGCAGTTGTGACTTCACAGTCAGTTATAACAATAAATAATATTTCATCACAGCAATCACCGAACAACTTAAGAAAGAAGTAGGAACCCCAGCTGCTCTCACCCAGGCTGACGAGCACCCGCTGCAAGGCCTGGTAGGATGAAGTCTGCAGGTCAAAGAGGGAGAGTTTGTAGTCTGTGCTCAGCTGCGCCTCATGTCGGATTGTTTCAAACAAGGCCGATGCCCTGTAGAGCTGCAAGTAGGGGACAAAGAGCATTACTCATTCCCCGGAAACCTCTGTATGACTTGGCTATTGAGTGACTAGAGACAACTTCTATACAAATCTTGGTGCCCAATCTACAAACAATTTTTCAAGAGGTTTGAAAAGATGGAATCTTTATTTCCAGGCATGTCCTTGCAAACCTGAGAAGGCATCAATCAGATCACATCCAGTAGATTAACAGTTTATGTGTTCAATTAGATAAGGGGATCTAAAAGACAAAGATTATGGACTTACAGTCTGAAAGTTACAAGAAAAAAAAATCAGCTGTTAATCCAATCAAGTGCTGATTTTTTTATTATAACAAACAAAAAGACTCTGCTCTTGTCATCAAGCAGCCCTCATTTACCTCCCCAGGCCTCACGGAGCCCGAGGTCTGGACTGAGTGCGGGCACAGAGCAGGTGGGCTGGACACGGACTAGGCTGGGGGGAAATGAGATGATGTCAACCACACTTTCAGGAGGAGGACAGCTTTCTGCAGGCAGTTCAGCTGAATCAACCACTGCCCTCCACACCAGTGACCAGGGTCAGATCTTCCTTGGACAAGCTCCCCTGGAGCCACACCTGCTCTCAGGGATACCCAAAGGACCAGATTCTCACATTCCTACAAAGACCTTGTCCTGTTGCTCCAAGCGATTTCTCCACAAGACTTTTGTCTAATATTTATATGCTGGAAATAGTACTGAATTCAAGTTGATGCAAATTTAAAAAGTAGGATTCCAAGACTAAGAGACTTAGACTTAGTATCCCCAACTCCAGCACAAATTCATTCTGTGACTTTGGGCAGGATCTGTAGCCTCAGTTTCTTCTTTTTTACAAAGGGGATGGTTGTCATTCTACCTCATGGGGTTATTCAAGGAATAAATGCAGTTAGTGACAGCACTTGAAAATTGCAAATCACTATAGTAATATAAACTTTAATTTTTAAAACAAGGAAATAAAGAATTCTTTAAACTGCCTTATTTTGGATGACGCCATCTCACAACTCCTTCAGCTTGAGAGGAACCACAACTCTAGTATCTTTCCAGTCTCTAGAGCCAGTAAAAGAGTGGGCTTCTCTTTAGCTATTTGTGCATATGCTGAAACATGAACTGTATGTGTGTGTTTGGGGGAGGGGAGGTTTGTGTGAGAAAGAAGTACCTACTGATATGTCTAGAAACCTATAAAGACATTAAATCCAATAATTATGAATTCTTGAATGACCTCTGTCATATAATGTATGTAATTTCATTTTAAGGCTTAATGAGGAATGGTAGCACATAACACAAGAATTCCAAAGAAATTATTGAGAAATCTATCATACAAGTAAGTGAGCAAGAATCTTCACTATGGATCAATGCTTCTGGACTAGAGATCCTGTATGTCAACCCAAGTGTAGAAGTTAGCACCTTCTCTCAAATGTCATCATTACTAGGACAGTAATTCCAATGTCTTCCATGCTTCTGGAAACAAAATCCACTTGAGACAGGGATTCTTCTGCTCACCTGATGTTGAGACTCCTCCAGGTTCCCACTAGCCCAAAGGGAGAGGCCAAGACCATGGCGAATTTTGGCTTCATCTTCTCTTCGGCCCAGTTGCTCAGCTAACCTTAAACCTGAAAATAGAGAACTTCTAAGGAGACACAGAAGACAGACAATTCCACCCTGCTAAGGAGTCCTGGAGGGTAATTCTGCCTCAGGTGTATATAAAAAATATTAATAACAGAAATAAATAAAATGCAGGACAAAAGTACAATCAGTCAAGGCAGAGTAAGTATTCTCTTCAAATTCTGTGTTAGGAGCTACCTTTCCAGGACACTCCAAGATGCCCCAGCAAGAGCTCAGGTGATGTCTACTAGCAGGAAACAGGTTTGCAGGGCAGGTAGAAACACTGAAATGAATGGAACCTAACCTGGCTGCCCTCCTAGATGTGAAACCCCTAGCTTTATGCAAATGAAAACTCCTGGCCTATAAATTTACCTAACCTAATTCTCTGGTGGACAAAAGCTTTTCCTGACAGTTCCAGAGTCAAGTACAGAAGCCAAGCTAATACTCTTTCCCATCTTACATACATAGCATCCAATCAGTGTTTATGGGAGACACATCTGATGTTCTCCCGAAAGCAGAATGCTCACACCGTCTGACCCTGCCTTCTGTTACTGATGCCACTGATGCATTTCATGTCCAATCTGTTTTTCCTTTAAGGCTGAGACTTTGATATGCCTCAGCAGGGTTACAGAACAAGTACTATTATGAGTTGAAAGCCTTAAATGAGACTATCTTCATTCTGATGGCCTTCAGATAGACACCTGCAGCTTGGGTCACTTTCCTACAGCAAGCTTCTGGCTTCCAGGACACCAGCAACCTCCAGGGCTTTGTGAGAGCCAAATCTGAGGGCAACCATTTATTGTACTTGCCACTAAGCAGTTCTCGGCATCACTTTATCCTCATAAAGTACACAGTAGTTAGATTGTACAGAAAAGAGCATGAAGCTCCCACACTACATCTGCACACACAAAGGAAGGACTTCCTTTTTAAAATCTAATTTAGAGTGGACAGGAGTCTGCCTCTGAGCATGCTGTGTTCTTGCAATTTCTGACTTCTGAAAAGGAACTGAATCCGTTGAGAGGATAATAAAAGTGATATTCAGGTTCACGCTCATAAAATACTATGCATTTCAAAACGCACTTAACTCAGAAAACTTAGAAAATACCATTTCAAGTTTAAATCATGTCACTGGGTAATAAAAATAATACTTGAAAATTATTCATATTTTTAAATACCTCATAGAATAGGAACACAAATGGAAGAAGATGGTTCTTGGGTGACAACCAGGAGAATACTGGTTGTTTTAACCTTCAACATACTAACCATATTCATTCTTCAGTGCAGCTATCCCTGCTAGATTCTGGGTCTATGAGTCGGAAGTCAAAGTCATTGAGATAGCTGCCCTAGAAGGTAAGTTCTGTGTGAGCAGGGACTTTGTCCCCTGCTGGATCCCCAGCATGTAGGATACACTCCAGCCCATAGTCAGTGGTTCAGCAACAAAGAGCTAAAAGTCACTGGCAGACACAGTATCTGTCCTGCTTGTTCCTATCTGCTTCTGCCTCTTAGGAATCTAACCCACCCACCCAGCATTCCTCAAGCCTGGTTTGCCAGGAACTAGTTGCACATAACTCCAGATAGATCACTAAACTGGTACAGACTTTTTCTTCATTTGCAAAAAGAGAAAAAGCTGGATGAGACCAATGGCTTTTTCCAGAACTGTCTATACAAATCACCTGGAGAGCTGATACAAAAATCTCAGACCAGGCCCCATCTGTGAGGTTGTAGTGCACTGAGGAAGGGTGATGCTCACTCATAGCCCACTCTGAAAGCCAAGAGAGAGAGAGAGAGAAGGCACCAAGGTGGTTTCTGACTGAACTGTTCCCTCAGTGCAAGAGGTTACAGACCCAACTCAGAGTACTAGGAAAAGGCCTTCCAGGTGTCTGCATCCATAACAGTTCATGAGAAGAAGCATCTAATTGGGCCCATGAGGCACACCAGGCTCTCTAGTGGAGCACCTCCATGGAACAGACACCATGGAGATGCCACAAAAGAATTTAGATCTCTGCAAGACTTAAAATTATAAGAAACAATAAAAATGAAATTGAGAGTTTTCCATAAATATAGAATTATGTTACAATGTCTCAGGCAAAGCAGCTGCTTTATGGAAACAGTATTTCAGGAAGTACAAAAGAACACAGCTGAAAGGTTGTCATATGCTGGGTCTGAATTTAATAGTTTTCACAAATTCGACTGAAAATCGCCCCCAGTCTGTTGGAATTTTACCACAGACAAGTTTCAGGAAACCAAAAGCCAACTCTCATATTTAATGCATTGAGGCAGAGCTCCCATGGAGTGAGAGCCAAATAAGGTCTGGGAGGTGGCTCCTAGCCTCTCAGTAACCTCTCAGCCTGCAGGCCAGAGCAATCCCTGGTCTGTACAAAGGATGACAGCAAACCATCAGCTCCTGGCCCATTCTCCACTTTGCTTCCTGCTTCCCTCCCTCCTGACTTCCCAGCTGGGGCTCAGGAGTAATGGGGGATATATTACTGTCCCAGCCCTGTTTTGTGCTTAGAAACAACTCTACATAGGGTCTTGTATAGTTTCTGGGGTAGGAAAACTCAGGCTGGGCCCCACTTCACCAAGAAACAACCAGATGGACAGGACCAAGCTGCTGTACTCAGAGCCTCAGGTCATTTGGCTACAAACGGGAATAAAGATACACCTCTGAAGGTTACTGTGAGAATTAAATCTGATTAAATAAATTAAATAAACTATATATGCAAAGACCCCTGGAAACTAGAAATGGGGGTTTTTGTTTGGAAATCACTGACTATTTCCTTTTACTAGTGAGCCAAGAACATCATATCTGCCATTCTTCCCTCCCAGGATGGGAGGATGCAATGTGCCCCTGTGAGGGGAAGCGCTTCCCAGAATAGAAGTGTAAAGGGTTGGAGGATCAGCATGCTGCTGTGAGACTTGTGCTTCCTGAGGAAGGAAGCATCTAAGGACTGGTTAAGGTAGCTGCATAGGACCTGACAGCATAGGACACCCGCGGGGTGGAGGGGAAGGGAGTGGAGGGAAAGAGGAAGAAGGAGAGGCAGCAGTAGTCACATTAGGGTCTGCCTGGAACAAGACCGCCATAGCCCCAGCTCAAGCACTGGGGGCAGTTTGCAGTGGGAAGGAAGCCTGGTCGACAACTTAAGCCACCTTCAAACTGGATTAAATCTCAGCTGCAACATCAAAATGGACTTCTTTACAGTTTTGTTAAGAGTTTAGACATTTTCAGGAAGGACAATGGGGCTTGGAAAAGATGGGTGTTTTGCTCCAACTCGGGTCCTGAAATTTTATGCGACTAAATCTTGCTTGATCCCTCTCATGTGAGAATGTATTCTCTCTGAAGGGCGAGGGCTCTGAAGAGCATGGAGGTTATCAGCTCCCTGGGCAGCTGGCAGCCAGCATTCTACAACCTGGGTAGCACATTCTGGAGGAGGGAATGCCCTTGCACTATTAAGAACACCCAATGGGGGATCCCTGGGTGGCTCAACGGTTTGGAGCCTGCCTTTGACCTGGGGCGTGATCCTGGGGACCCGGGATTGAGTCCCACATTAGGCTCCCTGCATGGAGCCTGCTTCTCCCTCTGTGTCTCTGCCTTTCTCTCTCTGTGTCTTTCATGAATAAATAAATAAAATCTTTAACAACAACAACAAAAAGAACACCCAATGGGGGCACCATGGTTTTGGAGTTGAACTAATGATGTGGCCTCTGAGCTCCTCACTCCAAGCAGAGGTGGCCGCTCAAACTGTGCGTACTTCCTTTTGAGTAGACTCTGAACTCGATCTCAGAGTATATGGAGAGACCACCCCAGACCTTTTCACTTACCTTCCTGTAAATACATAACCGCCTGGGAATAGTTCTGCAAGGCATGATGGGTCCTTCCGAGGCTACTATACGACACTGTCTTGGCCACCAAGTCATTCATCTGTGCAGCGATGCTCAAGTGCTGTTCCTGATAGACTACAGCCCTCTCAAAGGTGCCCAGGGATTCATATGTCAGGCCCAAGTTCCCGTAGGCTCGCCCCTGGCATGTGGGGTTGTTGGTTTCCTCTGCTATCTGCAGATCAAGCTGGTGGTACTGCAGGGCTGTATCATATTCCCCCATCTGCTGGTAAACACCACCTAGGCCACAGGCCGCATCACTTTCCAGGGCTCGGTCTTTCATCTCTCTAGCAATGTTCAGCTGGCGTTCAAGGCAGGAAATGGCTTGTTCGTAATTCCCTAATTGGCTGTGTAGACTTCCTAGCTCTCCATAGGCCTGGGCTTTATTAAAGGCCTCCCCGAGCTCATGGGCGACCACAAGCCTCTTTTCAAAGCACACAAGGGCTTGCTGCAAGCTCCCCATTGCCCTGTGGGGATGTAGACAGAAAAGCAATGATATTATTTTGTGCAGGTGCAGACATGCTAAAGCCCCTGAGAAAATGAAAAGCATTTGTCACTGTCACTTACTATAGAAGCTCTTAACTCCTCTTCTAGCTAAAATCTATCATGTGCCCTTAGAGTGAGATGCAGGGGAATTTCATAATCTGGAAAGCAATTCAAAAGTCATCCCTTAGTGACCTTCCCAAGAGCTTGAGATTCAATGGGATATACACCCCAGAGGAAACATAAAATATATTAATAGGCACAATGATAGCAAGTGAACTGTTTGGTACTTCGGGCCTCCCAATTTCCACTACCGCTTATACTATGTTTTTGAAATCACTTTACAATGGCTATAAATCTTTCACCCTGAGCTTCTCAGAGCACTCTGTGGGTGATGATTTAGTTTGACCCTTGCCCTTCCTCCACTCCAGGAGCCCTAATCCCCTGCTGATCTGGAAGGGCTGTAAATTCTGCAGACACAGACACCTTCTTGGGTTCCCCATATACAGAAGGAAAGCATCACCTTGGCCAACAGTGTGTCTTTTTGTGCTGCTAAGAGATGACATGATAAGACTGGGAAGAGCATGGATTTGGATGGCAGACCAAGTCAGTTGGGTGGGGCATATGAATCTCTTTCCCTGAGCCTCCATTTCTGGATGATAGTAAATCCTACATCCCGTAGCAGATCATAATTAGTGTAGAGTAATAAAGAATTGCCATAAATGTTAAGCAAGATATCTCTGCAAGGTGCCTAGCTTGATGATGATAGTATATATTAATTCACTCCTGCCATCTTCAGGTGGCTTTCCCCAAAAGCAACAAAATGGGAGTCCATATAATTGGTGGGCATAGGTGTTGCATTAATAAACACATTCATATAATGTGAGAGACATTCAGAAGACATCAGATGAACTGATGTATTTACCTTTTCCATTCCCATTATCCCTTTTATCCTGATCATTATGTTGTAGTCAAAAAACCATTGCATTTGGGGTCAGACAGCCCTGGGTTTGACTCTCAGCTGTCCTTAATTTTTTAATCTGTGTAATCTTGGACATTGACCTAACTCCTCTGGGCCTTAGTTTCTGCCTTCATAACATAAGGATAATTAATATCCCCACTAAATTCACAAAATCATTGGTGGAGCCAAATAAAATATGTATGAAAATGCTTTGTAGTTAACAACCTGCTGTGCAGATGTTAAGTTGTCATCACTGCCACAAATGTTCTTTGTGTATGTTATCAACCACATTTGTCCTCTGTCATTTTTACCTGTGTCCATTTCCTAGGCCCCGGTAAGCCTTGGCTTGGTCTTGCATGCGATTCAGACTCTGGGCAACAGATAAATACTGTTCATAATACTTGATAGCTTCCTCGTAGTCACCCAGAGCCTCATAGCAATCCCCCAGATTGCCATAGGCCCGGCCCCTGTCGAGCACAGACTCATTTCCACTTAGCTGCTGTAGCATGGCCAACTGCTGCTCAAAGTAGCCAATGGCTTCTTCCATCACATTCATGTTCATCTTTGTGATTCCCATGTTGCCATAGACCTGGGCTTCCAGGCTAGGGTCCTTCAACTTTTGCCCCAGATCCAGCTGCTCTTCATAACACTTGAATGCCATTGTATATTTCCCAAGGGCCATGTAGACAGCAGCCAGATGCCCATGTGCTCTGCACTCCCCCGGCAAGTCACTCAGCTCCTGATATACCTCCAATTCCTGTGTGTGATAACCCAAGGCCTTGTCATATTTCTGGATCATCCGGTATGCTGTGCCCAGGGCTGCATATGCACTGGCTTCCAGTCTTCTGTCCTTTACATGGTGAGCTAAGCCCAGCTGCTGCTCATAGAATTTTATTGCACCATTTATATCTTTTTTACAGATGAATATATCACCCAGGTTCCCCAGGGCTCGAAATTTAGCCTGGGAATTATTCAGGGACTGGGCTAAGGACAATAGGTACTTTTGACACTCTTCAGCTTTGCTGAAATTCAACAGAGCCTTGAATGCTAGGCCCAAGTTGCAGTAAGCTTTCGCCTGGCTCAATTTGTCATGAAGGTCTTTGGCCAGTGCCAGATCCTGCTCATAGTATTTTACCGCCTCCTGGTAATTTCCAAGGCAGTAATGGGCATAGCCAAGATTGTGGCAGACCTTCCCTTCTCCTTCCATGTCTTGGAGGTCAGGAGCAAGCCGGAGGTATTGTTCATAATATGGAGCAGCCTGGACATACTCCCCCCGAGAGCAGTGGAAGTTGCCCAGGTTGCTGAGGGCCCGGGCCTCACTCTGGATGTCACGAAGCTCCCGAGCAATGTTCAGGTGGTTCTGATAATGTTGCAGGGCCCGGTCATGGGCACCCAGGGCCTGGTAAGCCACAGCCAGATTGCCATGTGTGGATGCCTGTGAGGCGCGGTCATTCACTTCCATGGAGATCTGCAGCTCTTGCCGGTGGTACTTGACAGCCTGGTCGAACATGCCCAGAGCGTTGTAAGCATTGCCCATGTTCCCATAAGCACGGCCCTGGGCAGCATAGTCACTCAGCTCCTGGGCGATACACAGGTGGGTCTTGTGGAGTTTCAGAGCAGTATCATAATCGCCTTTCATCTGGTGTATGATTCCTGAGAAAGAGAATAAAGGAATGAAAAAGATTAGAATAACTGATGAGCATTTTGGGGAAAAATGTAATTTGCAACTCAATTTATACTCAAATACAATCTAGATGAATTAGAGAATTTAAAATAACAGAAAGTAGAATTAAATATTTATCAGCTCCCCAGAGGGATGATAGCTTTCTAAGCTTTGCAGAACAGAAGAAAAGAAAAAAAAAAACATACACAGATTTGATTACAAAATTAAGAAGTTTTATACTCAAATATATATCTAAAATTAAAAGGCAAACCCAATACTGGAAAATATGTGACATCTATATGACAAAATCTAATAGCTATTGTGTATAAAGATTTCAAAGATTTCACTGGGGCGGGGGCACCTGGGTGGCTCAGTGGTTGAGCATCTGCCTTCAGCTCAGGTCATGATCCCAGGGTCCTGAGATCCAGTCCTGCATCGGGTTCCCCACAGGGAGCCTGCTTCTCCCTCTGCCTAGATCTCTGCCTCTCTCTCTGTGTCTCTCATGAATAAATAAATAAAATCTTAAAAAAAAAATTCACTCGGTCTGATTTTTAAAAAAATTAAAATCAAACCCCCAATTTACTGAAATAGGCAAAGAACAGTAAGCAGAAGCAGACAATTCACAGCCGAGAAATACAAAGAGTAATAACCACAGGGGAAAATGCTAATTTCTTTCAATAATCAAAGAAATGCAAAATAAAGCAACCCTGAAGTACCATTTTATTTCAACTAAACTAGCAAACAGAAATTTAAACAGTACCCTATACTGATGAGGTTGCCCTGAAATTGGTAAACACATGAACTGCTGGACATAAACGGGAACTGCCTGCAGAGAAGCAGAATGGCAAGAACCACAAACACAGTCCTGCTCAGACCTGGCAATCCTACTCCTGGGAATATATTCTAAGGAAATCATCTGACAAATGCAAAAGCTATTCGCATGCCAATCTTCACTGCAGAATTACAGATTAGTGGGAAATCAGAAACATCTTAAATGGCAAACACTGGGGGACGGTATCAGTCCATTTTGGTATATCAGCTCAATAGAGGATTATGCAGTCATTAAAAGATAATTATGAAGTCTATGTAGAAAAATGGGGGGGGGGGAAGGTTCTTACAATAATATGTGGAAAAAGCAGAAAAAACGCTGCATGGTCCCTGTGACAACAACTAGGAAAAGAAATGTGTGCACATGGACAAGACCTCCGGGGGGATTATGCAAAAATAGAAACTGTCACCTTGTGAGGCGATAGGATTTGAGTGATTTTTTTCTTCCAAAATTTCTTGTAATTCTGCTCTACAGCTTTCACAGTCAATAATAATAGCACTTTAGGGGCACCTGGGTGGCTCAGTTGATTAGGTGTCTGCCTTTGGCTTGGGTCATTATCCCGGGGTCCTGGGATCAAGCCCCACATCAGGCTCCTTGCTCAGTGGGAAGTCTGCTTCTCCTGCTCCCCTTGTTTGGGTGCTCTCTCTTTCTAATAGATAAATAAAATCTTTTAAAAAATAACAGCACTTTAAACAACCCTCATAAACTATGCTCTAGCTGCTAAGCTATTGTTTTTACAAGCAGTTCAAAATGAGATCTATCATTGATATAAAAAATAGGAAGTGGTTCCAGGGCATCCCGGGTGGCTCGGCGGTTTAGCGCCGCCATCAGCCCAGGGCGTGATCCTGGAGACCTGGGATCGAGTCCCGCATCGGGCTCCCTGCTTTGGGCCTGCTTATCCGTCTGCCTGTCTCTGCCTCAATCTCTCTCTCTCTCTCTCATGAATAAATAAAACAAAATCTTTAAAAAAAAAATAAAAGAAAGTGGTTCCAAAGGATAGCATCAAAGTAACTTGGGAGGCACCTTTAAGGAGAGCCTGGTTCATCCTGGGCAAGGGGGTGGGGTGGGGGCGGGGGAGATGGAAAAGATGGACAGAATTTAGTAAGCAAACAGGTTCCTCCTTGCGCTTGGATTTGAACATACTTTTCCATGAACCAATGCGTGAGCTTTGTAGTGGCGACCAGAACGTGCAGAAGTACAAAAATGCAAAAACACCAAGTGGGTTCTTGTAACAAGTCTGAACTAAAAATAAACATGCTGAGAAAGAAAGCTATCAAAATCCAGGCCCCACAATTCACTTATCTGTGACACCTTCCCTCCCATGTTGCCCCAGGATTTACTGTGTGCTAAGCCTCATGGTGGGCAGCAGTAACAGAGAAACAAGATACAAGTCTGCCCTCAGAGAGTGTGCAGGGTCATAAGGGAGAGACTGTCAAGAAACGAATAATGTCAGCACACATGATAAACGCTCAAGTGAGGGGGGCAGAATGGGAGCATGTTACAGCTGCTCTTCTGTCCCCATGTCCTCCCCTGCCTGGGATGGGGTCAGCCCTGTCACAGGAGTTGCATTTACCTCTGGGCCCAGCCAGCTTTTTGATGTTAACTCAACTCAGGGTACTGGATAAATCATTTAGACTCTCTGAGTTTTTCATAGTTCATCTATAAAGTCAGGAAAAGAATAATCCCAATGCCAATCTTAGAGGGCAGGAGTGAGGATCAAATGAAATTAGGTATGTGCAAGTGCACTATAAATTGTAGACAAATTCAAATGTTAGTCACTGCAATTACTATGTTTGTAAAACAGGGAATTCTCAAGGTGATAGAGATTAAACAAACTCTCATAATTATTCTGGATATTTTCTTATAGGAGTAAGGTATCTCATAATTTAAAAATAACTAATAAGTCATGGTCCTCTATGCAATAGAATAACATAGTGTCATTAAAAATGGTGAAGTAGGAAAGAAAAGAAAAACCCTTTGAGTTTGCCCAAGAACAGACGATTTAATTAAAAAACCCAGTGAAGTGGAAGATTATATATTGACATGGAAAAAAATTAAAATATATTAGGGAGGGCAGCCCTGGTGGCTCAGCGGTTTAGCGCCGCCTGCAGCCCCGGGCCTGATCCTAGGAACCTGGGATCGAGTCCCATGTCGGGCTCCCTGCATGGAGCCTGCTTCTCCCTCTGCCTGTGTCTCTGCCCCTCTCTCTCACTCTCTCCTCTCTGTGTATTCTCATGAATGAATAAATAAAATCTTTAATATATATATATATATATATATATTAGGGAATATATGGTCACAAAACAGTACATTGTAATAAAAAACAATGGGTGTATATACATGTGTGTTTACATTTATATGTCTATATACAGCAACGAATTTCATTAAATATTAACAGTAGTAATCTTTGGGTGGTGGAACTATAGTTTTTTTCATTTTGCTTTTCTGTATTTTAAGTAGGTTTTTTTTCTAAAATGAATGCATTTGGTTTTAAAATTACTGAAAGTATTTTTAAAACGCTGATCCAACAAGCAAAATAATATTCCTAGGGACTTAAAAAAAAATATTCCTAGGGATTAGGTCCAGTCACTTCCCTGGGTTGGAGATGCCACCAGTATCCTTACTGGAAGGATCGGGTTTTTCAGAACCTGTCTCAAGGTTAGAAATTACGCTATCCAAGAGGCAATATCTTAGCATCACCTAGAACCCCATTAATGGTGAAAAATTATTAGTGACAAACATTTCAGTTCTAAAGACCTGAATTTGGCCTGTATCCCTAAACTCCTTTTATGTAAAGACAAAATTTTTAGACTTCAAATTTCCAGGAATCCTTCAAGGAAATGAATCACTTGCTCCCTCTGTCCTCACTTTCTGTGTTTCTAAAATGAAAGGGAAAATATCTTCCCAGACAAGGGTCCACAGTTAGGAACAGAGCCAGAGCTTGAGGGGGCGGTAGGAGCAGCAGGAGAGCTCAAATCTCCCTCTGAGCACGTTCTCCCACAGCAATACCTTCCCATTGATTTTTTTTCCCCTCACAGCTTTTAGATTTCTTTGCAATGTTTTTTTCTTTTTAAGTCAATATGATCATTAATTGGTTTCCAGGATTATGTTAAGAAGAAAAAAGCAGTGTGAGACCTTCAGAGAAGGTAATGGAGGAAGCTCAGGTGTTTTCATACTCCCTTCCACCGAGGACACAAGTCTCTCTTGCTACACCCCACCCTCCTCACTTGTACACCATCCTACAGGAAACTGGCTAAGTATCTGGAAGGCATACTATCACAGAAAAGGCACAGAACTTTAAGACAGCAGTTCCGTTTTACAAGCCTGGCTCTCACCTCGTTCAGCTGGGTACTTTAGAGATAGTCACTTTATATTTCTGTGCCTTTTTTCCTTCTTTCCTTTTAGAGAGAAAGAGAGAGTCACTTTATGTCTCTGAGCCTTGCTTTCTTTTCTTTTCTTTTCTTTTCTTTTCTTTTCTTTATATATATATATATATATATATATATATAGAGAGAGAGAGAGAGAGAGAGAGAGAGAGAGAGAGAGCGAGCATGTGCACACATGTGAGCAGGGGGGTGGAGAGAGGGGCAGAGGGAGGGAGAGAAGCTGAAGCAGACTCCATGTCCAGTGCAGAGCTGGATGCAGGAGTCAACCTCATGACCTTGAGATACTGACTGAGCCACCCAGGTGCCCCTACTTTTCTACCTGAAAACTTTTTGGTGTTTTTCTTTTCTTATTAAGGTCAGTTTATATCCTCTCAAAGAAATGGTATGAGAAACATAATGGTGTCTATCAATAAGCACTGCTATCTGAACATGGTATGAGCAGCATTTAGAGAGTGACAGAAAGGAAAAGGAATTCCATGTTTCCTCTCATGGCCTCAAGAGTCTGGCCTAGTTAATAGGGAGCAGTTGGGATGATAATGGCTACCCAGGGTTCAATGAGTTGTGAAAGAAACTGCCTGCTGGTGATAGCAAAATGATCTGACCCCCAGCCAGCTTGCCCATACACTCCCCTTCCGCCTCCCCTTCTTCCACATTTGACACTTCCAAGGCTCTAAAAAGAATCAGGAAGATTTTCAAAAACAAAGACTTCCGGACACAGGCAAGGGTAGGAGGCAATGGGCCTGGCTGAGATGGGGATTTTTTCATTCACCTCGTG